ATAAGTAAAGCGCTACTGAAGAGGAAGAATAAAATAGGTGGACTCGCACTACCTGACCTGAAAACCTACTATACAGCTATGGTAGTCAAAACAGCCTGGTACTGGTACAACGACAGATACATTGACCAATGGAACAGAATTGAGAACCCAGATGTAAGTCCAGTCACCTATAGTCAATGGCCCAAAGTCCATCAAATGGGAAAAAGACAGTCTTTTTAACAAATAGTGCTGGAAAAACTGGATGTCCATCTGCAAAAAAATGAAACAGGACCCATAGCTCACACCATATACAAAAACTAATTCAAAATGGATCAAAGACCTAAATATAAAACCCAAAGCTGTAAAGTTCATAGAAGAAAAAATAGGATCAACGCTAGAGAACCTAATACATGGCATTAACAGGTTGCAAACCATAACCAACAACACACAAACTCCAGAAGATAAGCTAGATAACTGGGCTCTTCTAAAAATTAAACGCTTATGCTCATCAAAAGACTTCACCAAAGAGTAAAAAGAGAACCTACAGACTGGGAAAAAATTTTTCATCATTACAAGTCAGACAAAGGTCTAATCTCTAAAATCTACAAGAAAATCTAACACCTCTACAACAAAAAGGCAAATAATTCAATTAAAAAATGGGCAGTGGAAATGAACAGACACTTCACCAAAGAAGACATTCAAGCGACCAACAGACACATGAGGAAATGCTTGCCAACACTAGCCATTAGAGAAATGCAAATTATAACCATGAGGAGCTACCATCTTACCCCAGCATTACTGGCACGAATCCAAAAAACTGGAAATAACAAATGTTGGAGAGGCTGCGGGGAGATTGGAACTCTTATGCACTGCTGGTGGGAATGCAAAATGATACAATCATTTTGGAAAATGATATGGCACTTCCTTAGAAAGCTAGCAATAGAGATACCATACGATCTAGCAATGCCACTCCTAGGAATATATCCTGGAGAAATAAGAGCTGTGAAACGAATAGACATACGCATACCCATGTTCATTGCAGCATTGTTCCCAATAGCAAAATGATGGAAACAACCTAGATGCCCATCAACAGATGATTGGATAAACAAACTATGGTACATACACACAATGGAGTATTATGCAATGATAAAGAACAATGATGAATCCATGAAGCATCTCATAACATGGATGAAACTGGAGGATGTTATACTGAGTGAAATAAGTCAATCACAAAAGGACAAATATTGTATGAGACCTCTACTGTAAAAACTCAAAAAGTTTACACACAAAAAGAAACAATCTTTGATGGTTATGAGGGAGGGGAGGGGTGGAGGTGGAAAAACACTAAATAGACAATAGATAAGTGGTAACTTTGGTGAAGGGTAAGACAGTACACAGTACTGGGGAAGCCAGCACAACCTGTACAAGGACAGGTCATGGAAGCTCCATAGACACATCCAGACTCCCTGAGGGACTGAACTGCTGGGCTGTGGGGACCATGGTCTCAGGGAACATGTAGCTCAATTGACATAACACAGTTTATAAAGACAGTGTTCTACATTCTACCTTGGTGAGTAGCATCTGGGGTCTTAAAAGGCTGTGAGCAGCCATCTAAGATTCTCCATTGGTCTCACCTCTTCGGGAGCAAGGGAGAATGAAGAAAACAAGATAAAAGGAAGAGATAAGTCCAGAGGACTAATGGACCACAACTACCACGGCCTCCACCAGACTGAGTCCAGTACAACTAGATGGTGCCCAGCTACCACCACTGACTGCTCTGACAGGGATCACAACAGGGGATCCAGGACATAGCTAGAGAAATATGTAGAACAGAATTATAACTCACAAGAAAGACCAGACTCACTGGCCTCACAGAGACTGGAGAAACCCTGAGAGTATGGACCCCGGACACGCTTTTTAGCTCAGTAATGAAGTCACTCCTGAGGTTAACCCTTCAGCCAAAGATCAGACAGGCCCATAAAACAAAACGAGACTAAATGGGCACACCAGCACAGGGGCAAGTTCGAGAAGACAGGAGGGGACAGGAAAGCTGGTAACAGGTAACCCAAGGTCGAGAAGGGGAGAGTGTTGACATGTCATGGGGTTGGCAACCAATGTCACAAAACAGTATGTGTGTTAATTGTTTAATGAGAAACTAATTTGTAAATCTTCATCTAAAGTACAGTAACAAAGAATGCATACAGTATAATGCCATTTATATAAAGTTCAAAGCATGCAAAATAATACCGTGTATTTCACAGGGATGCCAGGAAGAGCTTCAGTCTTTTTTATCACTTAAAGTTTCTGTTTTTCTTTTTTACAGAAATGTTTGTCTTGTTTTTGAGCTTAGCTGTATCTATATCTTTTTGTGTGTATATATGTATGTATATATTAATATATATTCTGTAGATTATATGTATATACATATATACACATACGCAGGTATGTATATGTGTATTATACATATCTGTATATGTATGTGTAGGTATGTTTTTGGAGTAGAGAAGACGTGTCTAAGCAAGAACTGACAGAGCCACCTCGACCAGAAGTCCTCTTGATTTTTTAAAAAATGTTCGTGTCAAAGGAAAGAGTCTTAGTATGGACCATAACTAACTGATGAGAAACTTGCAGTCTATTTTCATATACTGCTTTTTGTGGTTATTTTATATGGTGATGCTTTCATAATGAGTTTTTGAGAGCCAAGACTCTAGATCACCTGAAGTTACTTAAATGAATCACAAGTCTGTTATTTTATGCCCTTGCCTTTAAGATACAACTATACTTAAATCCTAAACGTGAGAATATCCAGTTTTTAAAGACTTTAAAACATAAAAATTCTACTGTTTGTTACAATGTTTATTATATTTATTCATACACTTCAATAATTAAGTCATTCAAGTCAGCTCTATTTTTAGCTCTTTCCTTTTGCTGTTCCATCTGAATTGTTCCCAAGTATCTTAAAGCTATAAAGTATATAACTCATGGTAGCTAATAAATTAGAGCTTTTTCTTGTTCTCTTGAATGTTCTTTTTTTTATAGCTTCCCATTTCTGATAGATACAATATCTTCTCTTATTTTTCTGAGATGATGTCTTTATGAAGTTTTTTTTTTTCTCCCTTCATGGTCTCTATTTTCTCCCATTTACTTTCTTTTCTGTTTGTTTATTCTGTTGCCTGTCTTTCACATTAAAAGCTTTCTTCAGATGTCTGATAATAGATGTTCATATTTATAGTAGGGGACTAAAAAGATTTTTGGAAGCTCTGAGTATATAAGGGGCTTTTGTTGACTTGGAGCTTCATTTTAAGGTGACCTGGCTGGACCGTTTGTTGAAATAATTCCCCATCCCAAGTCAGTATCTTTAGATCTTTACTCTTAAAGTTTATCAGAGAAGACTGTTCCAAACTCTTGCTTGAGGGTACTACCAGGATTCTAGGAGCCAAATGGGGGAAAGGTCTAGAGGGTCTTCAGCATTCAGTAAGCATTCTTTGTCTTAATCTCCTTGCTTTCAGAAACAGTATTCACTCTCTCAACTATGTCTGGCATTCCCCGTCTTCAGAGAATGAAACGCCAGTATTTGGCCAGAATTGGGGAGGGGACTTCACTCAGTTACATATGGTGGGAGAGAGGATTTAAAGATCTAATTGGTTTTAAAACATCTCTCAACCTGCTTACCTTATTTTAACCCCATCTGTTCGCATCCATTTCCAGAGGTACCTGAAGCTATAAATTCCTGAACTGTTTGAGAATTCTCAAGTGTAGGTTAGATTAGTTTTGGTTTCTCTACTGCTGGTTTAAGATTCAACTTTCGTAGGTGTGTTGTGTCAGTTCCTACTTAGCCAAGTATTTTCTAGTCCAAAATATTTTTGTTCTTGCCTCCATTTTTGTTCTTCCTGACCTTGTGAGTTTGTGTTTAAAAAAAAAAAACCCTCTAATTTTAGAGGTATTTCTGGAAGGAGTGAAGTCAGATGCATGTGTTTAATCTACCATCTTTATCTGAAACTAATTTAACTTAATAAAAGAGTTGCCTTACCTCCCTTATGTGATATCTCTGTGGTCATTGGTTTGTATTAGGTGTTGTATCTGAAGAACCTTAGCCCTCGGGTGACTGAAAGGGATCTTATCTCATTGTTCGCCCGGTTCCAGGAGAGAAAAGGACCTCCGATTCAATTTCGAATGATGACTGGACGCATGAGGGGCCAGGCTTTCATCACCTTCCCCAGTAAGTAGCTTCATCTAGATAACTACTCAGTTGCAGCGTCAGTTCACTAGAGAGACTACCTATCACCTCTCTGATTTAGTTATAGCCCTTTGAGTTTTCCACAGCCCAGGAATCAACAGTCTTTTGAACAAGCACCTGGGAAGAAGGGAAAGGAAGTAAGGAAAATATGTTTTCAGTGTCCTTCTGTCCCCTTTTTTGTGCCTCCCATTCCTTCGTTGATAGTGCAGGACCACCTTACCCCAGTGTCCTGTTGTGGTAAGGTAGATCTCAATTTCTACAAACTTGGCACTTCTTTCCCACCATACCAAACTTTACTTTCCCTTTGCTGACAATAGTATTTCTGATCCAAGTAATAATTATATTTCTTATTAATTAATAGATTGGTATTCTGATCAGAGTACATCTGCTTGCCTTTAGGACTCAGTGACTATAAGCTAATATGCTAATTCATTAATAATTCATGATTAATTAACGGATGATGATATATTCTTCTAAATATTGTTTGCATGTTAATACATGGCTTCAGTGTCTTAATTCAGAGGAAAGAGTAATACAGGAATTTCAGTTTCTGTGACAGACCAACCAATATGTCTTTTTGGGGGGAGGTTAGGTAGGAGTTGTACTTTTCATTGTTCTAAACTGTCATCATTTATAAACAACTTACTTACGTATACACAAATGCTATACATAAAAGCACATTAGTACTGCCAAACTCCCCTCCACTGTTTTCATCTAGTCTTGTACCACCTTTCTTGTCTTACTGAAGGTTTGTGGATCCTCTACACCAGTGGTTTTCAGCCTTTTCAAGTGTGAAGACCCCTTTTAAACTTAAAAAATATTTCATGGATCCCCCCACATAATATGATGCATTGATTGAAACATATGTAATGAAAAAAAGGCTTTGTAAATTCAGTGTTAATTTTAAATTGATAGCTGTTTTACTAATCATAACAGCAGCTATACATATTTGAAAATTTGTAATGTATCAAATTATTGGTTCAGTCTAAAAACATTGTTTATCTACTTATGATTTCACAGACTCCTGGCAGTAATCCACTCCTTATTTCCCACATCCAGGCTTGGAGACCTGAAAGTTGAATACTCCTGCTATACACTATATACTATCACACCTCAAGTTCCTACATGCCTACAAGGGTTCTTAAACTTATTTATTCCATACAAGGGCTCCCACAACCATTCACCCATCAAAAGAGAGTAGCAAAATGTCCTCAATACCATGATAACTCCTTTTATTTGTATTACTGATTCTGGAAATGATTAGGTTCTCATATTACCTACAATCTAACTAAGATAGAGCCACATGTATTAGTTATAGATTAGAATTCTTTAGCATACTGTCTATATTCTTGTTTCTTTACCTGTATATTTCAATTAGGAGAAACCCTCAAACATTCATTTTAAGTTTTTATTGTCATTATTCTTAGCCATTAGTTTAATCTTGCTGAGTTAAACAAATTGGAGATTATGTAAAAGAGAACTGCCAATGACTATATGGCCTTATGCCTGACATTTAACTCAAAGGCAAAAGAACCTAAACCAGGCTTGGAATAGAATTGAATTATTAACTATGTAAATTCATGTTTTTTTTTTCTCTCTCTTTTAGATAAGGAGATAGCATGGCAAGCATTACATCTAGTAAATGGATATAAACTACGTGGAAAAATATTGGTGATAGAATTTGGAAAGAACAAAACACAACTGTCAGATCTCCAGGCTGATTCTCTCATATCATGTGCTACAGATAACACTGCAGAAATCAGTGGCAGCTAGAAGATAAAGAGATTGTGGGTCCTGGGTGGTCTTTCTTGTAACAGAAACTTGGATCTAGGATTTGTGTATACATAGCAGTTTATTTGGAGTTAAAGAGGAGAACTAACTGAGAGGGGAAAAAAGTCATTAAGACAGTTCCTTTCAATATATGGAAAGAGTTGGTAAAAAAACGTTTTCTATAATCAGAAATTATATAGGACAGATGATATGCTGAGAATGAAGGATAGGGTACAAAAAGTATCCTTTTCTCAGGATAAATTAGGAAGTATTATTTCTAAGACTTTTTGTTTAATCTTTATACTTTTTCTGGGGTCTTCAATGTCCCTAGAGATTACATTCTTTACAAGACTGCCTCCTATTTACAAAACAAAAAAAAACTAGTTTAATTTTGAAATATTTATTTACTAGAACCCATCTGTCCTTAATTTCATCCACCTAGTAAACAAAAGACCAAGAACCCAGCCCTAAAGATCAACAAATTCTGTTAAGTCAGAACGATCAGCAGTAGCAGTAGGTAGTTTCATAAGTCAGTTGACATATTTAATGAATACTTCCCCACTAAGTGATCATTGTCTTCAAAAAGCTATATATTTTTCTAAAGGAATCTTTTAGATCAAAATATTGGTGTTCTTATGGCCGTTTAAGCTGGCTACCATTGAGTAATCATTCAATTCAAAGCAATAAACATTGACTAATTCTCTAATTATGTTAGCTATTAGGTATATGAATTTTGAAAGAGGAACGTACTAGTGAAGAATACTAAAGGGGAGTGAGAAGAAATAATTCTCTAGAAGAGAGATAGCCTGTCCCAAATCCCCCAGTTGGTTGTTAATGGCTGCTGGAGAATAGAAATACAGTATACAGGAATATAGTATACAGGAAGTAGTACAATATAATATACAGGAAGTAGTACAAACTTTGGAGTCAGACATTTGTTTAAACCTCACAGCCACACTTACCACTCTGTGACATTGGCAAGTCACCTAATCTGAGCCTCAGTTTTCTCATCTATTAAATGAGGATAATACTACTACTTACCTCATTGGGTTGTGAGGATTAAATGAGATGGTATTATTCAGGCTGAAGAAGTGAAAGAAAAAAGAATGAAGAAAAATAAACAGTCTAGAAACCTGTGGGACACCATTAAGCACACCAACATATGTGTAATGGAAGTGCCAGGAAGAGAGGAGAGAAAAAAAAAGGAGCAGAAAAAATATTCGAATACACAATGGCTGATAACTTCCCAAATTTTATGAAAAACAATCTACATATCCAAGAAGCTCAGTGAACCCCAAATAGGATAAACACAAAGAAATCCATTACAGATGCATCCTAACAAAAATGCTGAAAGGCAAAGACAAAAGAGAAAATCTTGAGAGCAACACGAGAAAAACAAGGGAATCCCAATGAGATTAAGAGCTGACTTCTCATCAGAAACAATGAAGGCAGCAGTGAAATAACATTTTCAAAGTGCTCAAAGGAAAAAAAAAAAAAGGTCTATCACGATTCCTATATCCAGCAAAGCTGTTTTTCAATAATGAAGGTGAAATAAAGACATTCCTAGATAATCAAAAACTGAGAAGATTTATTGCTAACAGACCCAACTTACAAGAAGTACTAAAGGAAGTTCTTCAGGCTGAAAGCAAATAACAGCAGAGAGTAATTGAAAAGGAAAAAAAGGTAATTATGTGATTATAAAAGATAGTATAAATGTGTATTTGTTTTCCTTCTCTTAACTGATTTGAACGCAGCTATATCAAACTGTATATCATTGCAGTGTTGGGATTATAACATATAAAAATGTAATATATTTGCAAATAACAGCATGAAGGAGGTGAGTGGAAGCAAAGATGTATTGGACTACAGTGATGATTCTAGATGGTAACTCAAATCTGCAGGAACAGATTAAGAGAACCAGATATGGGAAATAACAATATAACAAAAGATATAAATATATACTTTCTATTTCTTTTCTCAGCTTCTTTAGAAGACATAATTTTCTATAAAGTAATAATTATGACAATGTATTGCTAGATTTGTAACATATTTAGAATATGTATAACAGTAATACCACAAAAGGGGAAAATAGAATTGTATAGGAATAACATTTCTATATCTCATTGGAATTAAGTTAGTATAAATCTGAATCGAATTCTGATAAGATGTATATGGTGATCCCAAAAGCAACCACTAAGAAAATAACTTAAAAAGTATAGCAAAAAATTGTTCAAGAAATTAAAATGTTGCATGAGAAAATACTCAGTGCAAAAGAAAGCAGTAAAGGAGGAGTAAAGGAACAACAAAGACACGAGACATATAGAAAACAAACAGTAAAATGGCAGGCATAAGCTACCGATATCAATAATTACACTAAACGTGAACAGCTCAAACATTACAATCAAAAGGGAGAGATTGTCACACTGGGAAAAAACAAGATTAAATTCTATACTGTCCACTGGAAGCATACTTTAGATACAAAGATACAGATAGACTGAATGTAAAAGGATGGACAAAAATATATCATGTAAGAAAGCTGGAGTGGCAATACTAATATCAGACAAAATAAATTTTTTTAAAAAGTTGTGGTAAAGAGTGACATTTTATAATGATAAAAGGGTCAATCCATCAGGAAGATACAACACTTATAAACATATATGCACTTAATAACAGAGCACCAAAGTACAAGAAGCAAAAACTGAAAGACATAAAGGAGGAAATAAGCAAGTCAACAATAATAGTTGGAGACTTCAATACACCACTTTCAGTAATGGATAGAACTGGGCAGAAGATCAACAAGGAAATAGAAGACTTGGAAAACACCATAAACCAGCTAAACCAAACAGACAGCTATAGAACACTCCACCAAACAACAGCAGAATATACATTCTTCTCAAGTCTACGTTAAGTCATTCTCCAGGATAAACTATATGCAAGGCCATATGAAAAACCTAAATGTATTTTAAAGGATTGAAGTAATACAAATTATCTCCTCTGACCACAATGGAATGAAATTAGAAATTAATAACAGAAAGAAATTTGGGAAAACCACAAATATATGGAAATTAACACATTTCTCAATAACCAGTGGGTAAAAGAAGAAATCAGAAGATAAATTAGAAAATCCTTTGAGATGAATGTAAATGAAGACACAAAATACCAAAACTTATGGGATGTAGCTAGCAGTGTCTAGAGAGAAATTTATAGCTCTAAATACATACATCAAAATAGAAGATCACTTATCAGTAATCTTAACTTTCCACCTTAAGACACAGAAAAAGAAGAGCAAACTAAGAGCAAGCAGAGGTAGGAAATAATCATGATTAGAGGAGAAATAAATGAAATAAAAGAATAGAAAGCAATAGAGAATACAATCAAATGTTGGTTCTATGAGAAGATCAACAAAATCGACAAAACTTTACCTAGGTTGACCAAGAAAAAAAGAAGAATCAAATTACTGAAATCAAAAGTGAAAGATGGAACATTACTAACCAACCTTACAGAAATAAAAAGGATTATGAAAGAATGCTATGAACAATTGTGTGCCAGTAGCTTAGATGAAAAGGACAAATTCCTAGAAAGACACAAACTACTTGAACTGACTCAAAAAGAAATTGAAACCTGAACAGAACTATAACAAGTAAAAAGGTTGAATCAGTAATCAAAAAACTACCCACAAAGAAAAGCCCAGGCTCCAGTGGTTTCAATGGTGAATTCTACCAAACATTTAAAGAAGAATTAATACAGATTCTTCAAAAAAATTCCAAAAAATAAGAGGAGGAAACTTTTCCCACCTAAGTCCATGAGTACAGTATCATTCTAATACAAAAACCAGACAAAGACATGACAAGAAAACAAAATTACAAAAATCCTCAACAAAATACTAGCAAAGCAAATACAGCAACAGTAAAAGGGTTATACACTGTGACCAAGTGGGATTTACCCTAGGAATGCAATATTGGTTTAACATCAGAAAATTAATTGACATAACACACCATTGTCAATAGAATAACAAAAACCGCATGATCATCTCAATATATGCAGAAAAGGCATTTGACAAAATCCAGCACATTTCCATGATAAAAAAACAAAAACAAAACAACCTAGAAACAGAAGGAAATGTCCTCACCTGATAAAGGACATTTATGAAAAACCCACAGCTAATATCATACTTAATAATGAAAGGCTGGATGTTCTCCCTCTAAAAGGAACAAGACAAGGAGTTCTGATTTCACCATTGCTATTCAACATTGTACTGGAGTTTCTAACCAGATCAATTAAGCAACAAAAAGGAAATAAAAAGCAGATTGAAAGGAGGAAGTAAAACTATATTTGCAGATGACATGATCTTGTGAATAGAAAATCCTAAGGAATCCACTAAACTAATAAACAAGTTCATCAAGGTTTCAGGATACAAGATCAAGATACAAAAATCAATTGCATTTCTATACACTTGCAATACACAACCCAAAATTAAGAAAACAATTCCATTTAAAATAGCATCTAAAAGAATACAATATTTAGGAATAAATTTAACAAAAGATGTTCAAGATGTATACTCTGAAAACTACAAAACATTATTGAAAGAAATTAAAGAAGATCTAAATAAATGAAAAGATCCTGTGTCCATTGATTGGAAAACTTAATATTGTTAAGACAACAGTATTCCCCAAATTTGTCTACAGATTCAATGCAATCCCTGTCAGAATCTCAGCTGGCCTTTTTATAGATACTAGCAAGCTGATTGTAGAATTCATATAGAAACTCAAGGGACCTAGAGTAGCCAAAACATTCTTTAAAAAAAGTTGGAGGATTCATGCTTCCTGATTTCAAAATTTATTACAAGCTGCAGTACTCAAAACTGTGTGGTACTGGCTTAAAGATAGACATATAAATCAATGGAATAGAACTGAAATTTCAGTTAATAAATGGCTAGCAGTGATCAATTGATTTTTGACAAGGGTGCCAAGATCACTCAATGGGAGGAGAATAGTCTTTTCAACAAATGGTACTGGAATAACTGTATAGCCATAGGCAAAAGAATGAAGTTGGACCCTTACCTCATAACATATACAAAAATTAACTCAAAGTAGATCAAAGACCTAAATATAAGCACTAAAGCCATAAAACTCTTAGAAGAAAACGTAGGAGTAAATCTGTTTTACCTTGAATTTGGCAATGGATTCTTACATATGACACCGAAAGCATAAGCAGTAAAATAAAACATAAATTGGACTTCATCAAAATAAAAAAAATTGTGCCTCAAAGGACACCATCAAGAAAGTGAAAAGACAACACAGAATGGAAGAAAATGTTTGCAGATTATATATCTGATGAGGGACTTGTATCCAGAGTGTATATAAAAAAAACTTGATAATGAAAAGACAAATAATTCAATTTTAAAATGGGCAAAGGATCTGAATAGAAATTTCTCTGAAGAAGATATACTAATGCCCAATAAGCACATGAAAAGATGATCATCATCATTAGTCATCAAGGAAATGCCAATCGAAACCACAATGAGATGCCACTTGGCATCGCCTAGAATGGGTATAATAAAAAAGACAAAAGAGTTGACAAAGATGTTGAGAAATTGAAACCCTCATGCACTGCTGGTGGGAATGTAAAAGGGTGCCGCCACTTTGGAAAACGGTCTGAAAGTTCCTCAAAAAGTTCAACGGTTACCATTTGACCCAGAAATTCCATTCCTATGCTTATTCCCAAGAGAAATGAAAACATATGTCCACACAAAAACTTGCACATGAATGTTCATAGCAGCAGCATTCACAAGAGCCAAAAGTTGGAAACAACCATGGCTTCAAAATGGTTCAGTAATTGCTGTTGTAAACAAGGGCCGCATAAGCATTGCATAGCAACCAAATCTGTTGCCTGTGGTATTTTGACCTGAGTAGAAAACAAACAGCTGTGCCCCACTCAAAGATGGTGGTCGACTGTGCTGCTTTGAATGTGTGTTGCTCTCCACAGACCTGCCAATAACGTTGCTCTCCAAAAGTCCTACCACAGTCCTTCCTCTTGAGACTTTTAGGAGCCTGATGCAGGAGATTTGGTTATTAGCAGGACTGTAGAGAGCAACACATTCAGAGTGGCACAGTGGGCTGCCATCTTTGAGTGGGGCATAGTTTGTTTCCTACTCAGGTCAAAATACCACGGCAACAGATTTGGTTGCTGTGCAACACATACAAGGCCCTTGTTTATGACAGCAATTGCTGAACCATTTTGAACCAGTTCGAAGCCCTGGAAACAACCCAGGTGTCAGTCAACTGTTGAATCGATCAACACAATGTGGTATATACATATAATGGAATATTATTCAGCCATAACAAGGAGTGAAGTACTGATGCATACTACAACATGAATGAACCTTGGAAACATTACGCTAAGTGAAAGAAGCCAGTCCAAAAGCATGCATATTATGTGATTTCATTTATATGAAATGCTAATTGGCAAATCTGTAGATACAGAAAGTTTAGTGGTTGCTT